TCTTATGTAATATGTGTAATATGTGTTTTACAGTACTATGTAAAAGATATATTTTTAAACTCTTTGTATGTATAACTAATACATGTTTACATGATAAAAATGTTTTTATTACTTATTCAAGTAAAGTGATAAAGTTAGTTGATTTTAGAGAAATTTTGTAAACTAAAATTTATTCGTTTCGATTAATCTAATTTAATTGTTCGATTCAAAGTAATCAAATTTTATTTTCTTTTTATTTAATACAACTAACTTCTTCTTTTAAGTATGAATGCGTTTAATATTCTAATTAATTATTTCCAAACATTGCATTTTGAGTAACAAATCAAATGGTTGTGTTTTAAATTTTGTAAACTTTAAATACAAGTTTTTGTGACTTATAAGTTCACATGAATCCTAATACTTTTTTACCCAAACGATAACTTGAAAATATTTTAAATACCACTCATATCAGAGTGTGCAGCAACGGCATGCAGTCTCATTCGCAATCGATATAATTACACACAACCGTACTCAACTTGCAGATTTTCCAGTAATTTTTGCCAGAGCATAAGTGAGAAAAACACACACACACACACACACACAAAACGATCTCGTCCTTGTAACAGAATCTTTTTTTACATACTGTTAGGAAATATCGTGTGTGCACGTAAAGTATAAAATATAGGTGTTTGCATGCACTTCATAACAACCCCCGTGTGCTGATGTTAAACCTGAGTGCAGTATTAACTCCTCGATTTATGGGGGGGGGGGGTAAAAGCGCGTTTATTTTGTTTTATTTTATTATTATTATTATTTTTCTAAAACACGTAAAAAATACGTCTGCTCAAGTTTGGAAACATCAATGTCCATTACTTAGTAGTTGACGTGAGAAATTCAATGTGCAGGTTAATGAGGTCCAATAAGCGTCAAGGGAAACAGCGTACAAACAGAAAAGGCACAAAAAAAACCTCCCTCCTCTGCCGCGTATGTGGTCCCGTTAAAAGATGTGCCGAGAGGAGAGAACGCCATGTACTTCACTAACGAGCTTTTGCTCTCAAACGCGCCCTGTATATAACGAAGAAAACAAAACAACCAGTGCAAAAGACACCCTCCTGTGAACTTGAGCTGCGTACGTTTGTATCGCCACTATATGTGGCTCGTGTTGCGTTTGAGTAGATATCATTGCGGGCACCTCGGCGCACCATATCCACGTTGACTTTGTGCTTGTGCATGTGCATCTACAGGTGCATGTCCCCTAAACAGAACGAAAATTGTACGCGCGTTCGCAAGCTCTCTGCTACTGACAGCCGTTGATTATTCATACCGTGGCCCTTTCGACGGGATCTCCCCGGATGCGAATAAAAAAAAAAAAAAAGCACAGCACACAGGAATACATTAACACGTATACGCGCAACCCAGAATTATTTCAAATTACGTATGTGTATTTGCATCGTGTGAAAAAACATAAATACGATAAATATATAAGCGATGCTCGTAAAGTGTACCACAACCAACTGGAAAACAATTAAAATCGTTTCGCCCTTCTATTTTTCATGAGTGTACAGTTCGTATATCCTAACGATGGTGTTGATTTTCACGTGAGTCTCATTTTTTTTTGTCCATGTTCCAACGTTTTGCTTTCGTTAATCGTGCGCGTGGCTATACTTTATCATATACCTTTTGATGATTCGTATAGCTTGTGATAAACACGCACAGCTCAACTAACACTCGGCGGGTAATTAGCTTATTAAGGCCATACACGATGATTCCCCCATCGCGAGCCCGAAAATAGCGTCGTTTTTGCTTGACAAATCATACCGTAACGAGTGGAACGTCCGCTACGAATCGTGACAGCGACGCGACCTGTTGTCACGCTAACAATCACCGAATCGGATTTAAGCCTCGCTTGCGTTAACTCGACCAAAGTATATATAGTCGAACCCACGCAAAGTCGGCGCTTTATTAGTTCGTTTGTCCCGAAATCCCAAACGGCCGGGTCCCCTTTATTGCGGGGGTGCACGAGCAACGACCGAATAAACTCGCGTATATATATGGATTCGGTTCATCGGACCGACAGATCAGCTTATCGCGTAAATACTGAGAAGGGGGGGGGGAGAAAGGCAATAAGAGATAACAATAACAACTAAAGCACTCCCCTCTTTCACTTTTTTCGATCTATATCTTTCTCTCCTTTTTTCACAAGTGCCATTCCAACGTCGTCACGTTTATACCCGACCAGAGGACCGTATATTCGAAGTAAAAAAAAAAAAAAAAAAAATGTCCTAAGCATGTAATCGCCTTCCCTTTGTTTCCCTGTTTTCGTGGGAGACCCCAGCTCCTCCGGTCATTTCTCTCCGTTATCTCGTTCAAGGAAAATATTTCCATTTGTCTTGGATCAATGAGTTTCCAATCGCGCCTCTCGACGCCTTGCTGCTCCTTTTTTTTTTTTTTTTTTTTTCATTCCCCCGCGTCGGGATGAACAGGAGAAAGCTCGATCTTCGATGACGTGTTTTGTTTTGTGGTTTCGAGATTGGACGTTCAAGGAGCTTTCAGTGCTTTGGGGATAACAAGAGTCTCCGACAATCTGTTTTTCTATTGAAATCTTGGAGGAAGGTTTTTTTTTTTTTTTGCAACGGTCATTTTGTTTTTTCTACAATTTGTCATACATTAGGTGTACCCTAACTTGGGCACAATTATTTTATGTTTTCCCTGAACTTTGCTGAAAAAAAATTTTCATTCATCACTATTTACACTACAACATTTGGAAGTAAAAAAGTTTTTCCCTTTTTTTTTTTTTTTTTTTTTTTTTTTATTTCAACATTAACAAAAAGACTTTAAAATTATTCATCCGTAACTTTTACGCTTCCGAGTAAGTAACTAATGTCCGTGCACTAATGATACGANTTTTTTTTTTTTTTTTTTTTTTTTTTTTTTTTTTTTTTTTTTTTTTCACTTTCGTCATGGTGTCCGACAACTTGCGACATGACAATCTTTCCCGCAGTAAGCAGAATGTGGGTTACCGAAAAACCCCAAACACACGTGGCCCCCTTAGAGTCAAGGGCAGGGATCGAGCGGCGCGGCGAGCAAGCTAATCGAGCCATGTTTACCTTGGCATGGTTATATCCTAGCTGCTTGTTATTTCAGTGGTACGAAAGCTCACCCATTTTCAAAATTCTTTTTTTTTTTTTTTTTTTTTCAAAAGTTACAGATCGGACGGTTCGTTGCGAAAGAATCACAACTTACGTACGGCACGTGTCACGACAGTACAACGTACATCAGATTAAATTTGTAATTGAAGAACACAGACGTAGATGTGTGTGCGGATACGGTGGCGGTGGTGCAGCCGTCGGGCTTGTATACGTGACGCTTGTAATATTCGAGAATATAATTCGCTTGCGTTGCGCGCATTGTTATTGATGCCGTGACCGCGAGCTAGACGGCATTCTCTCTCTCTCATACTAAATGTATATATATGCATCGCGTTAATTTTGATGAAATCATTTTGAGGGCCGAACATGTGACAGATTTACGCTTCAAATCAAAGTGCTTTTGGATGGTTAATTTAAAAAATACAAAACAGCCGTAACGTTATACCGGTCCCTCGAAAGCGTTATCCTGCATACGCTCGTAAATAACCTCTTTACGGGTTCATTTCGGGGTTCCCGAAAGTTTTGCCGTGAAATTTTGCAAATAGTTCAGCCGTACGGAAAAGCTAATTGCAGAGCTTACGAGAGCAAAGCGCTGTTTACAGGTGTACACAAAGCGAACGGACGAACCGTATGTATACCTGAAATGAAAATTATCGGTGATCGAAGTCAAGAGCGAAAGCAAAAAAAAAAAAAAAGAAAAAAAATCTGGAGCCAAAGAGGACACCTCCTTCGCACTCTTTCCTCTCACATCCGTCTGCAGTCTCACCTGACTGACGCATCCTCCCGAGCGACTGCAAAAAAAAAAAAAAAAAAAAAAAAAAAAAATCCTTCTTCGAGTGTGCGCTTACACTAGATATTTTTTCTTTCGTTTTTTACTTTCTCTCGGCTAGATAGCGCATATACCGAGAGGGGAGCACACGCGTGATCCGACATCACAATTCGAATCGAAATCGAGCTCTTCCCATAAGCGCTACTCTTTTTCTCCGGTACGAGCTATATATAATATATATATATATATATATATATGTACCTTTTCACCGGCCTCTCTTTTCTCTTTTCGCCTTCGCAACACATACATACCTACGTCTTACATATACACATACCCTCGCAGCCGCAAGCTTTTCTCTCTCGCCAACGATACATATATATATATGCACAACGCGTTCCCTGGCTCCTGTGCCCGGTGGTTTTGCTCGCGGATCCTCCTCACCTCTTTAAGATACTACTTGGTTTGGATTCGTTTTTTTTTTCTTTTTTTTTCTTCGATGTAGCCGCGAGAAATAATTAGCGAAAACACTCGAGTGTACCTACACTTCGCATAAGAAGCGGGGCCACTAGCTGGTAAAAAAAAATAAAAAAAAAAAAANTCATAATAATAATAGTAATGAAAGTTTCTCACCCAGAAAAATAAAAGATTTCGTACGAATGCAATTATTTTATCTTTAACGAGCAAACGATGATATAAAAATGCAATTTAGGAATTGGAAATGGCGATTCTGATGAAATATTGATACATTTAGTTCTCGATTTAGTTCAATTAAACGAAGTTTGAAAAAAAACGAATATTAAATAAACAAACAAAATTAAGTCCAACTGGATTTTAATTGGATGGAGAGACTGAGAGAGGAAAAAAAAAAATTTCGTTCGAAGATCGGCAACAGCCACGCGTTTGATTTAAAGAGAGACGAACCGTTACCAAAACAAAACAACCGTTAACCAGAGAGAGGTGGTAACACACGCGTATCGGCCGAGCGTGAAAATGAAAATCCTCGCTCTTGTCCCCGAAACTAGGTCTCTCATATCCCATAATTTTACGAACGAGCTCATTCAAAAAAAGAAAAAGAAAACAGGTATACTTAATCCTCGATTTACCGATTTAAACGCGGTGCGATCTTCTCTCCTGACGATTTCCGGCTTCAGCACTGCCGCACAATCCCAAACCGGCACTCGTGCACATCCGCCCGCCAAACGAATGTATCGACTTCCCGTAACGGGAGCACAATCGCGCTCCACACACACTCCAGCCACGGGTAAGCACGATAAACTTGCGCGACTATATACTCGCGCTGTCAAAGGTGATGCACACTCGAGGTTGCTTGCTACCTCCTCGCGAGTTTGACGACTGACGTGGTGCCATACGCGGTTCGACGTTAGATCCAGAGGGGCCCGAGGATCGAAGAAGAAATGGAAGGAGTGAGAGACGGAGGTAGGGGTAAACGGGGACCTCCTTTCGTACTGTATATACATACATATACGCTCCGAGCAGGTGGTGGACAGCCGTCGTTGTTGCCCAGAGGAAAGTGGGTACACTTACACGTGCGGGACGGGAGTGGGACACTGTGTATGTAATATACATATACATGGCCAGAGGAGGATTTTTTCGCGGTCGCAGCTCTGCGGTGTGTGTTTGCGGGGGATGAGACCACCCCCCCTCCCACCACTAGCCGTACTGGGGGACCATAGTTTTGAGGGTTTGTTCACCGCGGGTATATTTTTTCATCATCGGGTGACATCGATGCTGCGCAAGTGCCCAGGAAGTTTGGGGTGCCTTTTAAATAATTTTACAGCCATTTAAACATTTCAGAGGGTAGGGTCTGATTTTTTTCTTTTTTTTTTTTTTTTCACTCAAATTAGAAGTTTTTGTCGGAGCTATGAAGTAATTGCCTCCGACGAGCATTGTGGACTCCCCAGGCTTGTTCATTTATATACCTTCACTGCGAATCAGAGGTTATTGTTAAAAAATTGTTACTGATGCAAGTATTGATGGCAAAATATTTATCTGCGGATAAATCTAATAAAAACAGAGTTTAATCATGTAAAATCATTAAAATTTCCATTAATATGGTTCAAGGGAGTAAATCTGGGATTAGACCAAAGCCTGGTCCCTTTCTTACCCCCTTTATCCCAGTGAAATTCCGATTAAGTGTAAATTACGCAGGTGATGGAACGGTTTTACGTATATCCATCGGAATCATGGACCAGCTGTTCACTCGGGAATTATGAACATCTCACTTATAACTGGACCATCGAATTATACTTATATCACAGAAATTGATTTTCTCTATTTTCGCGGTTCCTTTCATTCGAGGTCAAAGTTAAATTTCTTTGCGGTATTTTTACCCCTCAGGGTATTTTTGTCACCAAAGATTTGTTGGAGGACCGGTGTCAAAAATGTCTGATCAAGGATATAGTATACAAGATGTTATTATACCTTTGCTGTTAATAACGAGAAAAACGTTTTTTTTTTTTTTTTTAACAAGAGAATTTTCTCTGTAGAAGCACGAAATAATAATAATAATATTAATGATCACTTGACATACTCGCACGTGCAAACTGAAAGTATATATACCTTTGAAAGTTTTTCTTTTGATTAATCCCAATTATCAACACTGCCAGAATGGAGACCTGTGCTTGCATTGCATCGCTGACTTTGGAACGCGGAGTTTAAATTATCATCGCTCGACGAAATTAAACCTGCCGTTGTCTTAAGACCTTTTTGTAGTTTTCTTCCTGCGTTTAGCAGCAGAATTTACAGGTGGAACTTTGTGATTATTCCAGGCAGGACGTACTTATTATTCAGTTTTTGTCAAAGAAACCTTTAGAGAATGTAAATTATTTGACTTCGTAGCGAAGAAAATTACGTAGTTGAAGAACGCAATAACTTTGTGATGAAAAAAGAAAAAAAAACGATTTAAAAAAAAGGATGATGTCGCTTAATATCATTATAACCGTGTTGATCCGAGCCTTTGAGATGCAAAATTAAATATCATCTCTAAAGTGCATACACGTAATCTGTTTAATTTAACTCGTTCTAATGTGAGATCGATAAAGCAACACCAATCAGACATACACAAAAAAATAATGTATTTACGTAATCTATCGTCTAGAATTGTAAACTTTGTAGTCTAACATCGAGTAAAAAATCATTGTCAAAACGTTCAATTTACATTTGTTATGTTGAATTTTGCACGGCATTACGTAGTAGCACTCACGATTTTATCTTACGTAAGATTTTCCTTCAAGTTGGATTAATTTTTTATCCTATTTTATTATATATATGTATTTACGGTATTCAATTACCAGTTTACTAGAAACGACATATTTATGTGTCATATTATAATTACACCAAAAAAAGATCGATAAGTAGAATAAAATATTTGCAATGGTGTGTATAGTAATGAGAATTATATTCATGTATCAATAGGAAGAATTCATTGTATATATTATACGTTGAAAAAACAGTTACCTAACTTGTCTATTAATGATAGGAACCCGAAATTCTAACCAACAGTCGGTATGCGTCTATCTGTAGCTAAGGTAGAAATATCGTTATCCATTTCATGATAACTTAATTGAATCGAGGTATTGCTCTCTAAATGGTTGGCTGCTGATAAAAAAGAGTGCTTTCATAGTAAACGACGAATATTTGAAGCTTCAGTCGGGTCATCAATAATTAACAAAGATAGCCATGTTCAAATGCAGAAACATTAAAAACATTCATTTCTCAGGACTCATTAAAACACACGTACAACACAAATCATTTAAAAAGCAGCATGTAACTGTACTATATCATTCAATAAAAGGTTTTTTTTAACTCATTTGTCGATTCGCTGGCAGTTTCAATGAAATATCCAAACAAGTTTAAAGCTACAAAGTTTTTCTCTTCCAACGCACAGTGTGCATAAAAAACCGAGCATTCAAGTACCGGAATATAAAAATGTTTCCCCCACGTTGGCTTATTATCATCATCAAAACGTATATGCAATGCAGCCAAGCTGCTCTTTTTTTTCGTACGTGTTTCTCAAACTATTTTTACCCGCTCGTTTTTGCCGATCTTACATCTCAGACATGCAGAGGCAGAAAGTTGCCACTATCAAAACCAGTCGCTGCTCTGCTCCGTCATTTTTTCTGTCGCGTACTATATGCGCGTTTTAAATAATCCTACGTATGTTTTTTCCGTATACGCAGTTAGGCTCCGATTTTCGTGACGATACATTATTCACGAGCGCTGCACAGATCATAACTATGCCGATCTGCACCTTTATTTTTTCCCCAACGTTTTCACGAATCGTTTCTCAAAGATTTACCCGCTTTCCAAGCTCAGAGCTATTGTGTGTAATCATTCAGAAACAGCTTTGTAGCGATAGCCGAGGATGAAAGATCGGTAAGAAACCGGCCTCTGGAAAATCGGTAAATTATAGACCGATGGCTTTTTTTTATGACCACGCTGGAAAAAAAGAAGTCGGAAAACTTGTTAACCCTCGTCGCAAAGCCGCTGATTCGACCTCGTTGGTTGCACACGCACTTTGAAAGATCGGAAATATGTGTCAATGTCATCTTTTCTTCGAGTCATATGGTGGAAGTACCGGCGTTCCATGCGATCGCCGATTTTGATATCGACATGGCAACAAATTTTACGGTTGAAGGCGTGGGAGAATAGTTTCTACATACAAAAATTGTACGTACGAATCTTCGCTCCCAATGCATGTTAAAAGCCAAAATTTTTCCAAATATGTGACAAATATGAATAAACGGAAACAAAAGTCTTTCTGTAAGCTTCCGTCATCCAACTATGCGACAGTACAGGTATTTTGAAATAGTATTGGACCGGTAGCTGAAAATCCGGTTTTTTCGTATATTTAACATCCCAACCCATAATAAAACCAATCAAAACCTTTTTTATCGCTTGAAATAAAGAGTTGACAACTGACGGAGCATTTAAATTTAATGCCGAGTTTAAAACACAGACATAATTGACCGGGAGCTTAAGTGTAATGTTTAACTTTTTTCCCCCCTTAACAATAGAGATTTGCTTAACGAGCGATTTATTATTATGATACGTTTGACTACCAGATGTACCGTTTTGCTTAAGTGATTGCGCCATTAACTGAAATATCTCCGACTAAAATGAAATCTTTTGTTGAGCACAAAATTTTACAAGATCTCAGTTAATTTGTGCTTCCCATCTGTTTTTCCAGGATTATTTCGACTTTAATTCTCTGAAGATGATACGAAGTGATAGATCCGGCGGCAACCACAATGTGGTGGACTTTTTTTTCTTTACGACCCCCCCCCCCCCATGTCGAATGGGGTATCTAACAAACGGGTGTACATAACGATGTGGTGATTTACGTACAATAGCGAATCATCTACATTTCCTCAAACCTTTAAATATTGACATTACAATAATTATGGTACAATAACAGCAGTAGTATATTGCTTCGACAAGGCGATCGTGAGCTCAAGATCTTCGAAAAAACATGTATATTGTAGAGACCAAAAAGTAGAAAAATAAAAAAAACAAGAATAAATGTTGCAAACAAGTTTGCATGGTTGAACAAATAAAAAACTCGTCTCGAACTATTTCCCTGGTTTTAATTTCTTAGCTTCTTTTTTAGTCTTTTCGACAAGCTTGAAGCGTGTGCTATTCATATAGTCTTCCTTGAAAGGAAAAAAAAAAAAAAGACACCAGCTCGTATTTTTGTCGGCGAACGCCGACTTCAAAATGCACGAAAGATCAAAAAATTTTAACACCTCCGCGACCAAACGCGTGATTCTTTTTTCAAGCAGCTCTTTGCCACCAACACCTGTACAAGTATGTACATGTGGACGCTTAACGTAGGTATACCCATTCGTTTGAAACGGACTCACCACTTGGCACTGGCTAATTATGCGACGGGAGTTGAATTACTTGAGCAAATAAAAAGCCTTCCCGTTCGGTTGTATAGGCGCACACGTATGATAAAAGCGAAAAAAAACTTGGAGATGCAGACGCACGCAGGTGCATTAATCATATACACGCATTTTTTTTGCTGTCGCTATGTACACACTCTTCGCTTCCATATTCCAACCAAGGCGACGAATCCGCGAAGATTAGCGATTCGTCATTTTTTCCCGACAAAAAAATACCTATACGTCCCGGCAAACTTGCAACCAACGAGTATAGCATCGGTGGCAGCCAATCACTGATATTTAATCGTTTTTGCAGGGTATACAAATCGGCAAATCATGACGGTAATATTAAAATCCTTGGATTCGCGGAACCGTATAGGCATATTATGTTTCCTCAACTACGTGCAACAAAGTTGTTGATCGAGAACTACA